CCACTGTTTACGACACCCAGCCATATCGCTCAGTGTCTCTAACCATCGGTTGCAATCATCCCAAGTTCCTCAGGCACGGAGGCTAGCAGGACCTATGTGACCCAGTTTTCTGGTTATTGTTTTCATACCCTCATACCAGGTCTCAACTTGTCCACCCTTAGCTTTTTTTCCTCTCGGCATCTGCTTCGGCGAACAACGCTCGCCGTGTTAACCTACCTGGCGGCATGCGTAACACATGTCCCAGCCAACGTAGTCTATGGAGATCGACCACTTGCTCCAGAGGGCCACCGTATTTACCCAAAACTCTGCCCCTAACCTCAGCATTGCTCATCCGGTTACCCCACCACCCGTATTTACCCAAAACTCTGTCCCTAACCTCAGCATTGCTCATCCGGCTACCCCACCAGACCACTTGCTCCAGTGGGCGACACATGCGTAGTACATGTCCCAGCCAACGTAATCTATGGAGGTCGACCACTTGCTCCAGTGGGCGACCGTATTACCCAAGAACTCTACGTCTAACCTCGGCATTGCTCATCCGGCTACCCCACCAGATTCGTGCAATGCTGCGTAGACAGCGGTGTTCAAACACCTGCTACAACCCTACCACTTGTTGCATGATAGTAATGGAGGATTTGGTTACATTTCATAGGTGCAATTCGTTGTCTAAAGAGAAAAGGAGGCATGAACTGAAAAGTTATTATTGTTTTGCGTTGGCACTAAGCTTGCTTGCAAGCCGGTAATAAATATATACTCTATAGACGACGTATGCCACCAATGAAATTGAATCAAATAATCCCTTACTCTCATGCAATATATATATATATATATTGTAGTAGTTAAGTGGTTAAGGTCACCAAAATAGTGACCCGAAATCCCGAGTTCGAAGCGCTCGACTGCTGCCCATCTTCCTGACTTCTGTTTTTTTCCCAGGCAATTTTTATGTTGTCGCGGCCTCCTTCATAAAGGTTGGCTGTACATTTCAATATTCAATCAATAGGAAAAAGGAGGTAAAAGACATTCTTTATTTTATATGCATATTTATAAACAGTTTCTAATGGAAATAGTTTCGTGCATCTGAATGTTCAAGAGCGAATCAACACTATTGATCCAACCGGAGTACAGATAAACAAAACGATCACATGAGGTTTTAGTCGCAAGAAGAGGAGTGAACTTGTGGCTCAACAGAATGCTTTTGAACCACACCGACGGATGTAGTCGACTAATCAGGATCTATCATCCACTTCACATAAGTTAATTCAGTTTCAATGATTTGATGGGATCCAAAGCCCAACTTCGGACGAGTCTCTTCATGGGTTGAGATTCTTCCTAATAATTGTCTGATGAGTGAACGGATAACAAACATGTTCGCGATTTAGTTCTTCATGCTTCAGTAGATGGAGGGAACATAGCTACTGATACTCTAGTATAATACGTCATCCGATTATGAAATCATGTTCACTTCCTTCTGTGAGATTGAAGTTGTTAGCAGTAATTCCCACTTTCGAACGAGCTCTGAAAACGGCTTATTTTATTCAGTAGCAAGCATAAATCAATATCAAGTATTTCAGGTAGACATTGGCTAGTATTTTTCCCATTCGCATGTAAGCTTTACATCGTTCAGTTAATCTCATTACATGTGTTAAGGTTCCTGCGTCCTGGTGGGTTATCTGATTGCACGTATCCCGGTCCATGAGTGATGCCGACCGATATCACCGTTCGATGAACGCACGTTACTAATTCTTATTGTCAGTCATGCGATATTACATGCGATACTACGACCGGCGTACACAGAGCGCTAAGCATCGCAGAGGACAATAAAAAGTGCATTTGTATGACACAATAATCTAAGCAAGTGTGCATGAGAAGCCAGAACACAATCCTGTTTAGAACCTAAGTAATCACCTGATTTGTGACCAAAAGCACAAGTCGACGATAATAATGACCGGCCCGAGGAGGCAAAAATCCAACCACTATGCGAATCTCTTCTCGACCCTGTATCGTTCCACTGGCTGCTCCTTCCAACAGGGGAAACGCAGTCGCTCCGTACGATTCGACTCGCTGTTTATCCTGTCCTGTATCACCAACCCCATCGTTGTCAATGGTATTCACCAACAGCTGGTAAGTGGTTGACAAATCACATGTGTTTCGAATGTGAAATACGCGTTGATCGTATTGACCTACATGGACGATATCGAACAGCAGGTGATCCACAGATGTTTGCACATTCACATCTGATATGATTCGGAGGGGGTGGAGGAGTTAGAAATCAATCGTTGAAAACGGCGAATCAAAGCTCCATCCAATGTTGTTATTAAATCTTCATCTTTCAAAGTTAACCAAACAAATAAGCAGTGAATGGCGAGCTAACTGGGCAAATTTAAACGGTTAGTTCTGTCTCCAATTAGAGTCCATTTCTGGATCAAACTGCAGGTCCTCGTGAATTACGAACTCGTCGATTCCGTTATAGTTCGTGTTAAGACGTGCCACAAAAGTGTGATCTCTTATTGACCGAATGGATTATTTTGAAAAACTACACAATCAATTGTAAACTGTCTGGTGGAATCAAACCGTCAAAGTAGAAAACATATCGGAGACGGCCTACCGGCGATTATCTGTGACGATTATCCAGAGTCTGTCGTCATGGGAGTGAGGGCAAGGATAAACAGGCATGAGAACTACGGGGGAAAGAGCGAATCTCCTAGACCAGGAAAAAAGATTATTTTTGGCTCCATTAACTTACCCAAGACCAAAATAGGAGTTCGAATGTCTGTGCTTTGAGTCTAGCAAAGCTGGGGCGGATCAGCACCTCGATTTTGGTTGATTTCTAAATCTAAGCTGTCTTTGATAAAGCGGAAAGACTGGAATTGTCAAGAACTGGTCATTCTCTGTCTTAGCGAAGCACTGTTTGATCCTCTACCATGTCGCCAACATTGTCCATATTTGTCTTTGATTATTATTTGTCTACAAATCGGTGACACTCATGAGGTTGCAATTACACAAAATGAAAAACTTGGTTAGGGGAATATTCTTCACGTATTCTCATTTATTCCAATAACGCCATCGATTTGTTATAATAACTAAATTCACCCATACTGTCTGAATTATCATGTCACTGGGATTTGTGAAAAGAATATAAACTAATTGAGTTGTCCCATATTGTAACTAGGAGACAACTATTGGTGAAGAGATGATTTTCAACTCCAAGTTCATTTCATCAATTGCATTGCGTTTCATCGGATAGCAATCATTTTCTTGATTTAAAGCTGTATATTCCAAGCTGTTGAAGATGACAGTTTAGACTGGTTATGCAAGACAAAGAACTTTATGTTATTCACCGCAACACCTGCAAGTTTGAGTGAATTTTACTATGATTGATATACAGGTATCAGTTCCGAATGGGGGACTGAAAATTTGAAGACATTAATTGAATGGAATTCGCTTCGCTGTTGAGGATTGCAGACTACGCACTGCATTAAGCAGGTTAAAAAATTGGAACAAACCTGAACCCATGCGAAATAACAGTTCTGAACGAGACACAACTCACTGTTTGATTTTCCCGTGCATTTGACCAAAAATTCACCAAATACCTCTGACGTGATCACTTTGAAATAACCAACGTGTTCTGTCCCGGTTTCCTTGGGTTGATAATAGACCTGAGGTTCAGAAAAATTGAATACTTTATGCGTAGCGTACATGAGTTAAAATCATTTCACCCCTTTCGGCTAATCCAGTCAAAATGTCACGTTAATTGAATTTAGCAAACCAATCAGTACTATTATTTTCCCGAAATCTGGTGACTGGTACGGCTTTTGGCGGTATTGGCGACGTTTGGCCCAATTTCACCTCGTCATTTCACAGCACATTCCGCTGGAAGTTTTCTCATCAGGAGCACACTTTACTGCTCTTTGGCAGCCCGTCACGGTCGCACGCATTTGTACTTTGGCTGGAGTAAACATCGGACCTGAAAGTGTAATTTGTACAAGTGTCACCTTTTAAATGCTCGTACAAGACTGTCACGAGCCTATGCTTGCACTTACACCTCCTATTATCAGCTACAAGTAATTGAGCACTTTGAGCAGCCTGAGACGGAATACGGAAAGAGACCACGTCATTAAACGTCAAAAATGGAGCAGGTTTT